CTTTGCTCTTTTCCTGTTCCGGGGAACAGAGGGCTGGGCTTCTTGGGGCTCCAGGGAGGGGGTGTGGGCTCCTGGGCCCGGGCAGCTGGGGCTGGGCGGCAGCCTGCCTGTGTCCAGCTGATGTGGCTTCTGCTCCCCACGCCAGGCGGGGGTCGCTACATGCTGAAAGGGGTTGACTTTGGCCGTCCAGCCTGCCTCCTCCCCCCAACCCCCCACCAGTCCTTCCCGTGTCCTCAAGGAGCCTGAGCTGCGGGGGCCCCCTCCTGGCCTCTCCCGGGCTGGGCCACCTGCCAGGGGCGCCTACAGGGGTGGGGAGCGCCAGCCGGCAGTGCCTGGACCACGTGCTCTGGGCGGCCAGCAGCGGCCCTCGTGCGGGGGCGGCCAACAGAGGCGCTTGGCCGCCTGAGGCCCCGCCAGGGGCGCCGCAGGGCGGCTCAGCTCACTGCCCTGGGAGTGGCTTCCTAGCGGCCTGGGCTTGGGCTGCTGTGGTTGGCGGCAACAGCAGGCCCTCCGTCCCTCCCCCGGCACCACTCTGGATCATCCCTGGGGGCCCCTCCCCGGCACAGCCCTCTCCCCAGCCCCCAGGCGGCCAGTCACTCAGAACCCAGTGAGACACACGGTGCTGCCTCCTGCTTGTCCCAGCCCTGCCCCTGAACCCCTGCGACCTCTTCCTCCTCTCCAATCCCATGAGCTGGGCCCAGGACCCCTGGAGACCCTGATCGGAGGACCCTTGCCCCCATCCTGCCCAGCTCTGCCGTGGGCCACCTCTACCCCTGGCCAGGCCTCAGCCCTCATATCTGCTTGGGGCTCACTCAGCGCGACCTGAGGGCCACAGGGGACCAAAGGGGGAAGTTGGCATCCTTCACCCCCTCCCCGGAAGGGGTGGAGCCCCCCCACCCCCAGCCGGCCACCTCGTGTCACTCTCCTGACGTCTGGGTGCTCTGGTGGCCGGGAGTTCTGGGTTAGAAGAGCTGGGAAGATTCTGCTGGCCTCCCCACCCTCCTCTGTCTGCTCAAGGCGTGAACTCCTCTTTCTGAGTCCTTCCAAGCGAGCCACGGGATGGGGGCAGACGAGAGGCCTG